CTGTATACATATCTTACATGCTTGCAACTTTGTCAGACTCATGGACGTAAATTATTTCAGTGAGTCTCAATACGATTCACCTGCGAAAAATCTTAACACCGCAATTCAAAAAAGGTTGTAATTTGTACAACGCCATCTATTACGTTCTTTGTGAGAAATCATCCTTTTTTAATTTAAGGAAAACATATTTTTTACTGTGTTTTAAATACTATAATAGAACGATACGAAATGTATTATAATAGAACGTTTGTTTTACACACGAATCTTTTTATTACTATTTCTGAGATTTTGTGGCGCCATTAAACAAATTCGAACCTACATTTCAAAATAATAATCATAACTTTCGATAGAATTAACCAATTTCAATAAAACAAAGATTAAATGAACTTGATAATACGCTTTATGATTTTCTTAAGAATTTCATTGAAAAAGAGATGTTTACTCCAAACGTCATGCGTCCATAAACAAACAGATAAACCGTCAGATAATACAATTAAATAAAAATAAAAATGTACTTATTTAATGACTTCCAGTCCCCATAATGATTTTAGTTACAAATTAATATACTATACAATATTCAGAAACAGACACAACATATTATTACCATTTTTATTATATGTATAGATTTAAAGAGAGATGGCGCTGTTAACATCAATTCTAAAAATAAGAGAATATTTGACACGATTGATACAATAAAAAACATAAAAGAACTTATAAATCAGTGCCTGCATAGTAAGCAAAAAAGAAAGTTTGATCCTCGCCGAAAAACGAAATTGTTAATAGCTCTTAAAATTTGATTTACCACATAGAGTACTCGGCGTTAAAAAAAAAATGAGATTGTCAACACGCAGTAGGGCAGCGTGTCGTTAATATAAAGGTTAGAAGCACATATGAAACTCATCTACAGCAAAAAATTTTAACCTGCCTTTTTGTATCACATTTGTGCCACACCACCATCTATCGATGAAATTGGTTAACTATTGTACTTTAATTTAGTTTAGATAATAAGGTTAATATATTTTGTATATATTTATTACGTTCCTTATGTAATACTTTTGTTAACTGCGTTTTAGATATAATTATATCATTATAGAACATTATTTTACATCATTTAATTATGATTTATAATATGATATTAATTTTAAAATGTACTTGATGACTCATCCAACGCCACTATTGAACAAATTCGTACCTATACTTAGTACCCATACTTCAGAATATTTGTGATAACTTTTGATGGAATTAACCAATTTTATTGAAATAAAGACTAAATGTAACCTGAATATACACTTAATAATTTCCTTAACTATTCTTATGATATAAATTAGTACTTTATACGTGATACGTTAACAAACAAACAGACAGACAGACTGACAGAAAAATCTAAAAATGGTAGAAATGTATTTAATTACTTATTTTTAGTACCTCTCAATCACTTTTATTACAATAATATAAAATGTACAGACACCTGCTATTTACATTTTTATTATATGTATAGATGAAGTGATCTTGACTACGTTTCATCAATTAACCATTGGTAAAAATTAAAACAGGAATTTTACAATTGTGTTTACAAAAAACATTATTAGTTGAACCTTGCAGCTTGTTCATTATTTTTATTATAAATACCTATAAATGTTTATATTATTAATAAATAGTTCCCATAATCAGGGATCAAACCCGGGAAAATTTACAGCGAACGCTTTGACCCAGATCTACTAATACAATACAAATAAATACGATTTAACATATATAATAAAAAACTCTTTCGTACTTGAAACTTGAACACTTGATAGCTCGTGACGCCTACCGAACAAAGCTACAGCACAGTGTAATTGAAGATGCGTAACCGCGACATAATTCTCAGTGATGCGCAAGCATAACAGGCAGTATGTCACTTATATAATTGTCAGCTCTGCAGTGTATTAATCTTTGCACTTTTATAAGTAATACAGAACGTAGTTGCTAGACGGTGTTGACGTCGGCTAAAATCTCTGCGATCGCCGTTTCGTCAAGGTCATTCAGGCTAATTAAAGCCTTAAAGGCAAAGGCATGTAATTCGAATGATTCATTTTGAGTATATTACAAATTATTAACATCAATTTACAGAGATCATACACTACAATTTGACATGTTATTATCACCTTATAGGCATCTCACACATATCACACATTCATTTTGTAAAAGTATGGAACTCAACATTTATACTTAAATATTATAGTGAACTCTCCTTTGTCAAAACAAATACTATACAATAATTATAAAATTATTGTTTCCCTATAGTACCAATTTAGCAGTAAGTGTAATGCAATTCCTTACTGGGCTTTTATGATTTTTTAATTAGGATTTTGTTATAAACAAATACTTAATAATGTTGCGCGTCACTATTAATGTCTTGTACATGGCAACACTAGGTACACTAGCGCCCTCTAGTGTCGAGTAGCAGAACTAGGAGAGTCAAGATCCTTCCAGAAATTTCGGGACCGAAAGGTACTCGAACATTCTAGATGTCGCTACAGTAGAAGATTCTGGAAACTATCTGAGGCCCTATATAAGGCCGGTATAGACCACGACCGAGGCAGTATTGAATTGGCGATACAAGAGAATACTTCGAAGCGAAATAACGGCGAACTGTGTTTTATTATTAGTGTGTTTTAAGGTGTAATTAGTATCCGTAATTAAAGTGTCAATTTTGGTAATTTAATCGGCAGTTTTTAATTGTCTCGAACCTCAAGCTCGTAACAATTGGTGTCAGAAGTGGGATCAAATATGCCGATTTTACCTAAAGACGACACCGAGGGTATCCGTACCCGAAGTCAACGCCAACAGGAGACGGACCAGAGACGATTTGGTGGTGCAACGTCACAGACGTCGGCAGGCCAGTTGCCGACCACGGAGTCCGGCCCGTCAGCAGCTCCTGCATCTGCAGCATCTGACTTAGGTACTCTGATGATGATGCTGCAGGAACAAGCTCGCCGACAGGAGGAACAGGCTTGTCGGTTGGAAGAGCAGCTGCAGCGCGGACAGGAGGAACAAGCCCGCCAACAGGAGGAACAGGGCCGTCGGTTGGAAGAGCAGCTCAAACGCGATAAGGAAGAGCAGATACTTCTCATGAAGGACCTTCACGCTACCTTCGGGAAAGAAATAAGTGAGGTGAAGGATAAGGTTGCTCAATATGACAACCGCCTGTCAGATGCTGAAACCCGAATCGACCAAGTGTACAATCGGGTTGACAATGTGATGGCTGACGTGAAGAAAACGCTGAACGACCTCAAAATTGGGGATGGAGTTACAGCTTCCGTGATAGCTACAACACCTTCGCTACGTGGATTCAAAGTGCCACCGTTCGATGGGACTTCTTCCTGGTCGGCCTACAAAATCCAGTTCGAGGCTGTCATGAAAGCGAACGGCTGGAATAAAAGTCAGGCCATGACTGCTCTCACCCTAGGCCTGCGCGGCCAGGCCTTAACTGTTCTGGAAGCTCTCGGTAAGGAAGTGACTTACGAGCAGCTCCTTGAGGCATTGGAGGCGAGATATGGCGACGCTCACCTGGAACACGTCTTTCGTGCGCAGCTCAAAGATCGCATGCAACGCAGTAACGAAAACCTGCAGCAGTGGGCCCTTGAGGTGGAGAAGCTGGTTCGAAAAGCGAACCAGTCTGTACCTGCGCTTATTGTAGGGAACCTGGTGCAGACATTCATCGACGGCATCCGCGACCTTGAAGTCAGAGCTGCTGTGAGGCTCGGGCACCACGAGACGCTTAAGGACGCCTTGACCCATGCACTGGAGGTGGAAGCCGTGCGGCAGGATCATCGTTCCCACCGCGTCAGGAAGGTTGCAGCAGCTACAGTTCAGGACCGCAATAAAAGCTACAGCCCTAGGTGCTACGGCTGTGGGGAAAGGGGCCATCTTCGATCCAGCTGCCCTAAGCGAACTGTAGAAAGGGAAGGTGATCGATCTCGAGAGGGTAGTGCGGCTAATAGCACCGCACAGCAGCAGCAGGGAAACGAGTAAAAGCCAGGACTGCGGGGCGGGTGCTGGCTGATGTTAAAAGAGCCCCAAGGATTTCGATCTCACAAACCCATGATGGGAACAGCCTAATCATCAAGGGCGAAGTCAACGGAACGCCATGTAAACTGACCATAGACACTGGAGCCTCTCGCACGGTTGTCAGTTCCCAACTTATAAGTCGGTTCCTTGGGGACTCCGCATACAACCGAGAACGCATTAATTTGGTGACAGCCACTGGTCAGCCCATACCCGTTCGTGGAGAGAAGGAGATGGAGTTGAAGCTAGGCAACATGATCTACCTGCATAATGTCATCGTGGCTGATATAATGGACGACTGCATCCTGGGCCTAGACTTTATGAGGAAGAATTGTTGTGAGATCGACGTTAAGCAAGGTGTTTTGAAATGTGAACAAGAGGAACTTTTCATGGAAGGGGCGTTACCAGGGAATGTGTACAGCCTTAAGAAGATTGTTCTTCCGCCGAGATCGGAAACGATTGTGCCGGTTAGTCTTCCTCGGAGTCCTGGGCAAGCTCATCGTTGTGTACTCGTGGAAAGGGTAGACAATTACCTTCCATGGAAAGTGGCTCGAACCTTGGTCAGAACAACCGACATCTCAGGAGTACGTGTGATGAACCTTTGTGATCAGGAACAGATTATAGAAAAAGGCACATTGGTCGGTACTAGTGAGGAAGTGGATTGGTTGCGTCGGTGCGAATATCTATCGACCGGGACCCCTAGCAAGGATGGACAAACGAGAGTGACCACACTTTTAGAAGACTGTCGCAGCGTTCTCTCCCCGAATGAAATGGTCAAGGCGAAGAAGTTGTTACTCAAGTACGCCAATGTTTTCTCGTCAAACGAAGCTGACATAGGAAAGACTGGCTTAGTTCAACACAAAATAAACACAGGACAAGAATTGCCTATTCGTCAGCGGCCATGAAGATTGCCTGTAGCACGTGAAAAGGAAGTGGAAACCATGATTGAGGGAATGGTAAAGGATGGTGTTATTGAACCTTCATCTAGTCCATGGTGTTCACCTGTGGTGCTGGTAAAGAAGAAGGACGGCAGCATGCGGTTTTGTGTTGACTACCGCCGCCTGAACGACGTTACGAAGAAGGACAGCTATCCCTTGCCTAGAATTGATGACACGCTGGACATGCTCACAGGCGTAAAGTGGTTTAGTACGCTGGACCTGAAAAGTGGCTACTGGCAGGTTGAAATTGACCCTAAGGACAAGGAGAAAACTGCATTCTCCACAGGAAAGGGTCTGTGGCAGTTTAAAGTCATGCCGTTTGGATTGTGCAATGCTCCAGCAACGTTTGAAAGATTGATGGAGCTTGTACTTACCGGGCTAATTGGAGATGCCTGTCTGGTCTATTTGGATGACATCATCATCGTAGGCCGTACGTTTGAGGAACACCTTCAAAACCTGGAACGCGTGCTCATGAAGATCCAGAGTGCCAACCTCAAGTTGAGTCCAAAGAAGTGCTCACTATTCAAACGGCAAGTTAGTTTTTTGGGGTATGTAGTGTCGGAAGAAGGTATCCGCACGGATCCAGAAAAAATTGCCGCTGTCAAGGAGTGGCCGGTTCCAAAAGACAAGACACAGGTTAGAGCATTTTTGGGTTTGTGCTCTTATTATCGGCGATTTGTGAAGAACTTTGCAGATATAGCCAAACCTCTGCACAAGCTAACCGAGGAGAAGCGACAATTCTGCTGGGATGAAAGTTGCTATATTGCATTCCAGGAGCTCAAGAACCGTCTATGCAAAACACCTATTTTGGGGTACCCTGATGCGGGCAAGGAATTCATAGTTGACACGGACGCAAGTGATATAGGACTTGGCGGTGTGTTGTCTCAAAGGAATGGTGATCAAGAGATTGTGATAGCGTACTTCAGCAAGTCGTTGTCAAAGCCGGAAAGGAACTATTGTGTCACAAGACGGGAATTGCTTGCTGTGGTAAAGTCCTTGCAGCATTTTAGCAAATATCTTCTAGGGCGGAAATTCCACTTACGAACTGACCATGCTGCACTGAAATGGCTATTGCAGTTCAAAAATCCGGAAGGACAAGTTGCGAGATGGATTGAACTACTGCAGGAATACGACTTTGTGATCGAACATCGCAGCGGGAAATCTCATGGCAATGCAGATGCATTGTCAAGAAGACCTTGCCCTGAATATTGCAAGCATTGTACTAGGCAAGAGGGTAAAGAAGTGGTATCTGCGAGGATATTCAGGACAGACCAGCTCAGCAATGAATGGAAGGACAACCTACAACATGCACAGCAGGAAGATTCGGACATTAAGCCGATTCTGGAATGGATGAAGGCCAGTGCTCCTAAGCCCAAGTGGAGCGACGTCTCAGCAATGAGTTCGACCACGAAAAGCTATTGGGCCCAATGGGACAGCTTGCTGATTCAGGATGGAGTCCTGTGCCGTAAATGGGAAAATGGTCGGGGAGACAGATGTCATTTGCAAATGGTTGTCCCTAAGGCTAAAGTACCGGATGTTCTACAACTGTACCATAGTAGTTCTTCAGGAGGCCACCTGGGAGTTAAACGAACTCTCCTGAAGATCCAAGAACGGTTTTACTGGGTCCACTGTCGTGACGATGTCGAGGACTGGTGCCGCAAATGTACAAGTTGTGCGGCTGTAAAGGGACCTCAAATTCGTAGTAGAGGCGCATTGAAATTGTACAATGTTGGTGCACCATGGGAGAGGATAGCCATTGACGTTGCGGGGCCGTTTCCGGAAAGTAAAAGTGGTAACAAGTATTTCATGGTTGTGATGGATTACTTCACTAAGTGGCCAGAAGTCTTCGCCATTCCAAATCAAGAAGCTTCAACAGTTGCAGATAAACTAGTTCATGAAGTCTTCTGTCGTTTTGGAGTACCCTTAGAGATTCACAGCGATCAAGGAAGGAATTTCGAGTCTCAAATATTCCAGGAAACTTGCAGAGTTATGGGTACTCATAAAACACGAACAACTTCTTACCACCCACAATCTGATGGAATGGTAGAACGATTTAATCAGACATTGGAAAGGTACCTGGCAAAAGTTGTGGAAAAACGGCAACGAGACTGGGACAGGCACAACCGTTTTTGTTGTCATATCGAAGCGCTGTTCACGAAAGTACATCATTGACGCCAGCTTTCGCAAACTTTGGGAGAGAATTACGGCTGCCTGCAGACCTGATCACCGGAATACCACCAGATGCCCCACGCAGTATAACCGATTATGCAAATGACTTGCGGAACAAAATGAATGACATTTATGAGCACGTCAGACAGACGGGCCAGCAAACGTCTGAGAAGATGAAAACACGGTATGACCGCAAAATAAACAACAAGGGGTTTGATGAAGGTTCTCTAGTGTGGTTACACAATCCAGTTCGCAGCAAAGGGAAATCTCCTAAGCTTCAAGCTAAATAAAGGACCGTACCGGATTGTGACAAGGATCAATGACGTAACCTACCGGATACAGAAAGGTGCCAGAGGTACTCCTAAGATTGTCCATGTAGATCGACTGGCGCGTTATTATGGGGCCAATAATGCTCGGGACGAGCATGTCTTAGGAGGGGGCAGTGTTGCGCGCCACTATTAATGTCTTGTACATGGCAACACTAGGTACACTAGCGCCCTCTAGTGTCGAGTAGCAGAACTAGGAGAGTCAAGATCCTTCCAGAAATTTCGGGACCGAAAGGTACTCGAACATTCTAGATGTCGCTACAGTAGAAGATTCTGGAAACTATCTGAGGCCCTATATAAGGCCGGTATAGACCACGACCGAGGCAGTATTGAATTGGCGATACAAGAGAATACTTCGAAGCGAAATAACGGCGAACTGTGTTTTATTATTAGTGTGTTTTAAGGTGTAATTAGTATCCGTAATTAAAGTGTCAATTTTGGTAATTTAATCGGCAGTTTTTAATTGTCTCGAACCTCAAGCTCGTAACAATAATAAATTAGTTTTAGATTATTTAACATCAAAATATTGCAATAAAGATTTGAGATTACAAAAATTTACAAAAACAAGTAACAAGCTTAGCTGTGATGAGTCACAGGTCATAAAATTTATTAAATATTGTCCTTCGTAAATATTACATTTATTCCAAATGTATAATTAAGATATAAGGTAGAATTTTACTTCAACATCGATTGCATGGGAAAAAATAAATGAGAGAAGCTTAAGCCTTTCCTGTGAATATTTAATAGGAAACACAAGATATTGATAAATTTAACGTTAACTCACAAAAACCCATTTAGAAAAGCATTTCTCAAGTTATAAGATGTTAATTTTTTTTTAATAATAATAATCTTTATTAAAACTTATATAGGTTACAAACAAATTGTTGCACTGATTCCTAAACTAGGATTAATCCTGTATCTTAGGATATCAGTAATAAATATATGTAATAAATAAAATAATAAATAATAAAAAATAATTTAAATTTACTTAAATTAAACTAGAATAGATATTCCAGATTATTGTGTTTTTTCGCAATGATAGTTCTTCTACAGGCCACTTCTGCCAATCAAGCTTGCCTTACGTGTATAAGGAAATGTTAAAAAACAAAGATAATTTATTTTATGTTATTAAATCAAGACTGTACAACCAGTGCGTGTTGCCAGTGATGACCTTTAGTACTGAGACGTGGTCCTTCACTGCTGGCCGTATGAGGAAGCTCAAGGTCGCTCAGCGAGCTATGGAGAAGGCTTTGCTCGGACTTTCGGACACTCGGAGTTTCTCTGCGTGATAAACTTAGAAATGAGGATATCCGCAGTAGAACCAGAGTGACCGATATAGCCCAACGGATTAGTAAGCTGAAGTGGCAATGGGCCGGCCATATAGCTCAAAGAACCGACAACCGTTGGGGAAAAAAGGTTCTCGAGTGGCAGCCTCGTACCGGCGGACGAAGTGTAGGGCGTCCCCCTACTAGATGGAGTGACGACCTGGTAAGATATGCAGGAAGTCTATGGATGCAGGTGGCTCAGAACCGTGCTTTGTGGCATTCCTTGGGGGATGCCCATGTTCAGCAGTGGCCTTGTGAAGGGCTGAAATGATATTAAATCAAATATGTAATATACATATAATACCTTAATTTTTTTTTATAAAATAAGGAAAATTGCAAACTTTTCCATTATATGGTACTCGTATTATAATTCGCAACCCTGTCTTCAAACATAACAAGGAGAGAGTAAAATTAAATGGTTAAACGAACTTACCTTAAGTGAAGTTCAACCATAATTATACGAAGCTTCTTGTCCGAGACGGTACTCCCAGCCCAACCCTCCCTGGGTTAGGGTTGCTCATTTGACGAGAAAGAAAATAGCGGCGAAGCCTCTATTCACTTCTAGCTCGCACAATGTCGCTATCTATACTCACACCCGCCGGTATAAAGTCTGCGAAAAATACGTTGCTCCTTACGTTTTTCGTACGTCCTATAACTTCAGTTCAACTTGAACATAACGTTGACCATGACGATGACGATGACGATGACCTTGACGATGACGATGACAATGACCTTGACAATGACCACGGCGATGATGATGACGACTTCATGCCGATAACAAAAACATAAGTTTGATGATATTCAGTCCAACTAGACCATGACGATGACCATGACGACGACGACGACGATGACTATAACAATGACGATGACCTTGACGATGACTTTGATCATGACAACGATGATGATCTTGACGATGACCATGACGATGATCTAGAATTTGATGAATTCGATAACGATGACGATGACCATGATAATGACGATGACACAGTTCATCTGATGGTACTGTAGCCCAAGGACATCTAAATCTATCCTCGACTACGAATCTCTGAGGTGTTTGAGGTCCCGATTTCAAAGTTAACAAGTTAACTCGAAGTACCTTAAGCTTTTCTGCAGGAAGTTTTGCAGTCTGTGATTATATCCTAGACAGCCCCCGGCATTATATATTTATAGATCACAAATCTTCGAGAAAGAACATCGATTTCTACCAAGTACGATACGTGATGCTATTGAAGCTAAAAAACATCCCACTTTAAATAGAGAAGGCGGCTGTGTACTGCTACCTGCTTGGGATCCAGTAATTAAGCACTAAGCCACCGAGCTGTCATTTTTAAGTGAGTAAGACCAACAGAGAACCTTTATATAAACCGAAAATGAGAACTTCAAACGAGCACCAAGGCCAATGGTCATCAAATATCAGTAGAATCGATTTTTCCACAGCTAATAAAAGATATATTTAAAAAAATATGCGTCGAATTTAGAACCTTGTCGTTTTTTGAATACTGATAAAAATAGGAGCAAGAACTTTCAATAGAATCATACATGAGTATTTTTTGGGATAAAAATTTTTTGCTCATGGTTTTAATAATTGGATTGACTCAATTTACGGACAGGCGGAACGGGAAACATACTAAGTCAACTTTTAATGATGTGAATGTGATACAACTTTGCGATTTATAACTCCGCTGAGTCTAGAAAGTTATTGTTTTTGCTCAATTAAGAAGTTTATAGCAATTATTTAACATTGGTAAATAAACGTTGTTTAATGAGTTGTTATGGTTTTATTATTGTGCGCTGGTAACATTTTTGATCCCTTCTCCGCGGGATAAAATCCGTAACGAGAATGTCTAAAATAGACTTTACTCAGTTTTATCTTTTTTATCTCATAATATAAATAAAATTGTAGTGTCTGTGTTTACACACAAAACTTGATACACTTGATAGAAGCCTAGCTATTTCGATATTACTATCGAAATAGCTAGGCTTCTATCAAGCTAAGAGGGTTATTTACGTGCTATTTTACTTCATCATCATCATCATCATCATTACAGCCCTTCACAAGTCCACTGCTGAACATAGGCCTCCCCCAAAGAATGCCACAAAGCACGGTCCTGAGCCACCTGCATCCATCGACTTCCTGCATGTCTTACCAGGTCGTCATTCCATCTCGTGGGGGGACGCCCTACACTTCGCCTACCGGTACGAGGCTGCCACTCGAGAACCTTTCTTCCCCATCGGTTGTCGGTTCTTCGAGCTATATGGCCGGCCCACTGCCACTTCAGCTTACTAATCCGTTGGGCTATGTCAGTTATTCTGGTTCTACTGCGGATATCCTCATTCCTAAGTTTATCACGCAGAGAAACTCCGAGCATAGCCCTCTCCATAGCTCGCTGAGCGACCTTGAGCTTCCTCATACGGCCAGCAGTGAAGGGCCACGTCTCAGTTCCGTAAGTCATCACTGGCAACACGCACTGGTTGTACAATTTCGTTTTAAGGTTTTGAGGTATGTCTGACGAGAACATGTGTCGTAGCTTCCCGAACGCTGCCCAGCCGAGTTGAATCCGTCGATTGACCTCTCGGACGAAGTTGGACTTACCTAGTCGGACTATTTGTCCCAGGTAAACATACTCGTCAACAAATTCGAGCTTAGTGCTCCCAACAACTACCGGCATAGGTGTGACATGGACATTAAACACGATCTTTGTTTTGTCCATGTTCATCTTAAGACCTATCCGTTGGGAAACACTATTGAGGTCATTGAGCATAGTGCTTAGGCCCTCCAGCGATTCTGCCATAAGGACTATATCGTCGGCAAATCGAAGGTGAGTGATGTACTCGCCATTGATGTTGATACCGTATCCTTTCCAGTCCAGAAGCTTGAAAACGTCTTCCAATGCAGCGGTGAAGAGTTTCGGGGATATGACGTCACCCTGTCTTACACCTCTCTGCAATTGGATAGGTTTCGTACTCTGGTTCTGTACTCGGATATCCATCGTAGCCCTACTGTACAAGCACTTAAACACTTCGATATACCGACAGTCAACTTGGCACCGCTGAAGGGACTGCAGCACCGCCCAAATTTCGACGGAATCAAAGGCTTTCTCATAGTCCACATACGCCAGACATAGTGGCAAATCGTACTCTTCGGACTTCTGTACAACTTGCCGAAGGGTATGTATGTGGTCTATGGTGCTAAAGCCCTTTCGGAAACCGGCTTGTTCGGGAGGCTGGAAGTCGTCAAGTCTGCGCGCGAGACGATTCGTAATGACTCTCGAAAACAGCACGTAGACGTGGCTCAGAAGGGAAATCGGTCTGTAATTCTTCAAGAGAGCGTTGTCACCTTTCTTGAAGAACAAGACCACCGCACTTCTGCTCCACGCCTCCGGTGTAATGCCACCATGGAGGACGGAATTAAAGAGCTTCTGAAGGATTTCGAGTACCGGTCTTCCACCCGCTTTCAGAAGCTCCGCTGTAATTCCATCCTCGTCTGGGGACTCACCGTTTTTAAGGTGCTGGAGAGCCATACTAATCTCGCTCAGACTGACGTCCGGGATATCTTCGGAATAGTGTCAGATGAGACTCGCTCTTGAATCGTTACTCACGCTTGCGTGTGGCTCCAACGATGACGTGTACAGCTGCCCA